GATATTTGACAAGCCCAACCATCATAATCTTCTGCACTAAGAGTTGCATGATTAGCCAAAGAATACAACAAAATCATAGCGTCGTAGGTTACATAATAGCCAAGAAGAAATAGCTTAGTGCGGTTCCTTTTATACTCTAGGTGGATTTTGTAGCACATGGTGAATGTTAAAAGAAGCAAAGCAAGAAACAACACCGATATATGTTAGGACCAAAATAGTCCTGATTATTAAAAGTGTTATATAGTCAATTCACTTGTATTGTATTGTATTGTAATATTCTTGGAGAGAAGAAAGAAGAGGTCATGGAGTAAGGTGTCTTTGGGTTTAGATGAATATTAGAAACCCATAAAATATCATTTTTAAAAGTCCGTTTGGTTTGCAGGAATGAAATGAAATTGGGGGATTTGGATTATAAATCCACTCCAATATGATGTTTTGTATCCAAGATTGTTTGTATTTGAAATCCTCGAATTCTATTGAAATCTCTCAAACATAAAATTTTGAAATCCCTCGGGACGATTGGAATTTGGATATAATAATGTTTTAAAATATGTTAAAAACATTTATTTTCTAACAATTCATTAATAAAACGCCTAAAAATGCCTAAAATGCGAAAAAAAAATATATATTATAAACTTATTGCAACAGTTTTAGATGAAACGGTGGGTGAGAAGAAAGAATAGGTCATGGGGGTAAGGTGTCTTTTGGGTTTAGATGGATATTAAAAACCCAAAAAATATCATTTTTAAGAGTCCGTTTGGGTTGCATAAATGAAATAAAATTGGGGGGTTTGGACTTTAAATCCATTCCAATATGGTGTTTGGTATGCAAAATATATATATATATATAAAGAAACCAAACACAATGAGTTGACACCTTCTAATGCCTAAAACTCCTCCTATCTTTTTTCTCATTTTTTTTAATTTTTTTAAATGTTGAATATGTTAAAGACTTTTCGGCCCATATATGAAAAATCTATAGCTCATAATTAACCCGAGTTTTTTTTTATAATTTTGTATACCCAAGTTTAACATCCAACACTTGATTTGCTCTTACATTTGTTTTTTTTTTTTTTTTTTTTGTAATTTTGTATACCCAAGTTTAACATCCAACTCTTGATTTGCTCTTCCATTTACTTTCTTTTATTTCTTAATGAAATTTGTTTTTCAAAGTAATAATAAACAAAATGAAATTCTAGAAATTCATTTGGTGAGAGATGAAGAAGGTGAGAGTTGAAGAAGAATTCAGAGAATTTAAAAGGTATGTAGAAATTATATTCATTAAAAAAAATGTGAGTTGTTATTATATATTTCTTTTTCAATATTGTTGGACTTGTTGTTATCATAAGATATGATTGGTTTACGATTGGATCATATAAATTGTGTTTACGATTGAATCATTTAAATTCAAATAAAATTTTGATATTTTGTAATCATAAGATATGATAAACTTTTTTCGAATTTAAGCTTCATTAACAATAATTATTTATACATGATTGATAATTATGTTAAATTTTGACTACTTCAAGATTTTTTCAATTGACATAAATCTTTTGGTGAGTAATGAAAAAATAAGAATTGAAGAAAACTTAAATGATTTTTAAAAAAGGTATGTAAAAATTATATTATTTAAAAAATGTGATTTGTTATTACATATATTTCTTCTTTTCAATATTGTTGGATTTGTTGTTATCGTAAAACATGATTCTGTTTACGATTGGATTATATAAATTCGAATAAAGTTTTGATATTTTATGATTACAAGATATTATAAAAAAACGAATTTAAACTCCGTTCACAATAATGTTTATACATGATTGATAATCACCAATATATATATATATATATATATAGAGAGAGAGAGAGAGAGGTTGGTTCAAATACTAACCCATTTTTTTGTGTTAACTATGCTAACCAACATCAACCAATCATATTCCATCTTTTAGTTAGGTTCAAATGTAACTCACATATTAAGTGTACGGGTATTTAGGTAATTTGTCATTTTTATGTAACTCCCCAATATTTTAATTGGGGGTTACAAATCTTAAAATATCACTAATTGATCTTCATGTAATAATGACATGAAGTTTCACATTTGTTCATCTTACTGATTTTTACATTTCATTATTCCTACAATGGTTTTGATATTGTAAATTTCAAAAAAATCCCTTTTGTAAAGATTCTGTTATAGTCCGAGTAATATGGATAATCATAGAGTAAAACAGATCGACGACAATGAGAATGAAAAAGCTAAAAGCGTCTACGAATACATTCGGAATTCGAATTCCGAAAGTGAAGAAAACGATCAAATCGTTCACGCACATGTTCACTCAAACGTCGACATATGTGTTCACTCGTGCACATATGTGTTCAATTGGTTCACACAATATGTCTATTTGGTTCACACACATGTTTCAATTGTTCATTAGGTTCACACATTGTTTTGATGAARATTATGWACCTAATTTTTCAATTGTTCATTAGGTTCACACATTGTTTTGAAGAAGATTATGACCTAATTTTTCAATTGTTCATTAGGTTCACACATTGTTCATTAGGTTCACACATTGTTCATTAGGTTCACACACATGTTTCAATCTTATTTGGATGCCGTCGCCTGGTAATCCTTCCAAATCCTCCATTGTTTTGATAAAGATTATGAACCTAATTTTTAGCCATTGATTTAAGATATTGATCGATGAGATTGACGGTTTCTTTATTGATTGGAAGTTACAGAATAGGCTGACAAAATAAGATACATTAAGATCATTCACTTTTTACAATTTTACCCTCTGAACCATTGTGAACCTAATTTTTTTATTAATATGGTAATTAAATAATTAAATTTTTAGTCTCAATAAATGACAACCGTTGGATGTTCAAATCAACGACCAAGATCGGTTAACAAAGTTAACANGTTAACAAAGTTAACATGATAATCTTGGTTAGTATTTGAACCATCCCCTATATATATATATATATATATATATATATATATATATATATATATATAAAAGTTGGTTATTATACAACCCTTGACATTTGTGCAACCAATACAACTCAATCTCAACCGTCCATTTCATTTGATTAATATGTGATTTGATAGAAGTTTTGATTGTTTTCTGATATAAAGTATTGATCATAATTAATGAATCATATTCATCTTCTATAAATATTCAAATCATAATAAATGAACTCTCATCATTTTCATATATATCTCAATTTATTAAGTTGCATTGGTTGTACAAATGCGACGAATGATCCTTTACATGATGGACCATTATATTATATAAAAACAAAGATTACATACTTTATATATTTTATAATATATAATATTATATTTTATATTTTATAATATTATATTATATAAAAACAAAGATTGCACTTTTGGTTAGAGGAGTCCTGTTTTTGTCTGTTCGCACGTAACAAGTCCTTTTCAGAAGAAGAAAATTCGTTTCTATCACATATTTATTATATTAATTAAAGAATAGACAGCATGGAAATATAACCTACTTTGGTATAATTTATATTATAAGCAACTTAGTCTCAAAACCTTTTCCGTGATATAAATGTGATATCTCAAACATTTAAGTATGTATTTCTGTAAATTTTGGGGCATTTTTGTCTTTTTATTATTTTTTAAAATTTTCTTCTAGAAAGTAACATATTATTTTATATTAAACTTTTATTGTACAATTGCTCCACATACGGTGACCTTCACAGTTTCACCCTTTTGCATTCGACAAATTGAGAGGAGAAAATGGTTGAGAGCTAGGTCGCGTAGATTGATCTATGCAAATTAATACCCTAAATTCTAGGGGTTATCGTTTGAAACTTCAACGTCTCCTTCATTCGCTCGATTTTAGGCGTCTTAGGGCTGTCATTGGGAGTTTTTCAGTGCTATTAGAGATCAGGATTGAAGATCGGTGTTGACACGTTCAAGTTCTCTTCAAGGAAGCTAGAGATTAGCGCTAATTCTAAATTTTGACTAAAATCCAGCTTTGTATGTTCATCATAACCTGTCAGAACCTTATAAATGTTAAAGAGAAATAACTGCATACGCGGTCAGGACAAAAACTATCCAACCCATGATTTAGAATTGGCAGCAGTAGTGTTTACTTAATGTTATGGTGGCATTACTTGTATGATACCGAATGCACGTTATACACCGACCACAAAAGTTTGAGGTAAGTGTTTGACCAGAAAGAGTTTGAACATGAGATAAAGTCAATGGTTATAACTGCTCAATAACCATGATTGTAAGTTAATTGTTTTATCATACAGGTAAAGTAACACGATTGATTGTAATGAGACTGAAATACAACTAGTTGGGACTGATCAGACTCGAGCAGTTATGATTTTTTTTTAAGAAATTTAGTTATGAACCTAAGAACCATCGTTTAACCATTCAGTCATTCTTCCCATCTCAACTCCTTGGGGCCTGTTTATTTACAGTTTAATGAGCTTAATGAGACTCACAACTTATTTGATCAACTATGCACGACTACTTAGTAGTAACATAATTACGTATAAAATGACTTATTCAGTAAGCTTCTAGGGAACAAATTAGTCCACACCAACACTTTTATCCATACACTAAGGAGTTGTTTGTTTACCTCTTAATAGTTCTATTAAAAACTCTGAATCGTTAACAGGTGAATCTTGTTTGGCAAAAAAAAAATCTATCTCTTAATGGTTCTAAAACTCTCTGAATTATTTTGTATCTTGGATCTCCCTTAACTATTAAAAGCCCTAATTTCATTGTACACAATTACCAAACAATTATATTTCATTTGCACTATATCATGAGAGCCTCTTATTCATTCTAACCATTTAATCATTTTATACTAAATCATTCAGCAATTGTCAAAATAACCCCAAATTAATGAAAACCCAATTTCAAAAAAGCCAGCCCGCAATTGAATCAGATCAGATGGTATTTAGCCCAGCCTAGCCCAGTAGCGCAGCCCAGCTTATTAAAACCATTCCGTAATGGTTAATGGCTTTTGGTCGTCTTTCTACGTAAAATTAGGGTTTTCTGAATTTATATCTTTCATCGATAAATCAGATTCCGTCAAATTTCTTCAGCACATCGTTGATCGGAAAGATGAAGAATAGTGCTAGAATATCTAAAGGAAACGCTAACAATGGCGGAAGCAATCAGAATTTCAATCGCTTAGCGCCAGTGAATAACAGTAAGATGAAGAACAGGAACAGAATGGGGGGCGGAGGTGGAGGACTTTCACTCCAAGCCTTTGCTAATGCTAAAACCAAAACCGACGGCTACAATCCTGCTTTAATCAGTATGTTTCTCTTCTTCCTTAATGCTTAAATACAATCGCTGAATTCCAGTATTCCACAGTGCTGGTGCAAAAGCTTAATGTTGATGCGTGGAAAATGAATCATATAGTTGTATGTTAATTGTTGAACTGTGTTTAGAATTGTGATCGTAGTATGAAAATTTTGGAGGTGATTAAATTTGTTTCTGCTTCATGCTAAACAACCAGAAGAAATGCTTGTTCGGTTGTAATTAAGGTTTAGCTTAGCCCATAATTGAGATCGGTCTTATGGAGAGATCTCTTTTTTGTTGCATAAATTGTAATTTCGGAAGTAAATTAGTGCAGGAATGTTTTGAAAGTACTTTGTCAATTCATTGAAACTGTTCTGATCACATGAATCCTGATGAGAATAAGTTGCATAGTTACGACTGGTTAGTTTATAGTCAATCCCAGAGGCTATGATGATTGATGATGCTATCTAACAGCGAGTTATACCTTTGAGTTCCAGTCTTAAGTGGATGTTGGTCTATAGGGAATTGCCAGAAGATTTGTTATGCATTGTACTGAATCCTAGATTTCAGAACCATAGATTTAAAACAATTTGGGTTGTAAACGAGGTGACGATTAGCATGTTGTTCGAGCTCAGATAACTTTTTCATAGTATGGCTCGAGCTTGATGCTCCTTTAATTTTAATTGATGTAGATATGATTATATCTATAAATTCAAGCTTTATAAGCTCGGTTAAGGGCTCGAGCTCGATATCAACTAACTCGATTATTGGTTTGAACTCGTTTAAGAGCTCAGAATTCGAAAAGTTTATTTTTATTTTTGCCATTCATGAGTAACATAACATGCAATTATCATCAACATAGAATGATATGTCATTCTTGAAGACACAAGTAACATCACTTTTGAAGTTCAAGTGAAAGAAAAATTGAAAATGAAATACAATTTATTTTAAAAATACGTATTCAGGATAGCTTGATAAGATTCTAGTAAGTCCACATAGAAGTTAAGAAAGAATAAAGGTAACAGGAAAAGAAAATTAAAGTATCTCTCTCCATACCAAGGTGATCCAAAAATGACCCAAATTGCTTTCTAGAAGATGAATAAAAACAAATATAAGAAACATATTTGTCTTAGTCAGTGTTCTAAAGGGTTCGCCACAACAAGCGCCGTGGCTCAAAGCTTGTGTCTGACGCCACATTAAGCCTTTGTCACGCCATGGCCTAATGGGCCGTTTTTGTGACATGATATTTGATTTTTTTTTTATCTTTTTAATGTTTTACTTGTTAGTATTTTATATATAACCTTATTTAAATTGTTTAATAATGTCGACTCATTGAGTAATAGTAGAAAACATTTTATATATAATGTTTTATAATATAGAGATTTTCCGGCAATTAAAAACGTTGTGGCTCCTAAGTCTTGAGGCTTGGCCTCACCGCCACGCCATGCCTCCCACCATTTAGAACCTTGGTCTCCGTAAAAATATATCAAATGGAGCGGGAGAGAGTGGAGGAGAAACATTGTTGAGAGTTGAGACTTTGGCCATCATGAATTTTCTATGCTTTGGAGAAGGGATCGGCTCTTCAGTTCTCAATGTTACTTTGGAGAAGGCAAACAGTGCATTGGAGAAACCGTGCATTAGGGAAAATGAAAAGCTAGTTAGTTATTTTTTATGTTTGGATCCAAAATTTATATGTTCGTATGGCTCGACATGGCTTGAATATATGTATGCTCGAATCAACCCTGGTTTGAAAAGTTAATTGAGCTTTCGAACGAGCCAAGTTGAACGTTGGCTTTATATTATGTTTAAGATCCACTTGATTTTGATAATTATTGAGCTCGAGTAGCTCGAATCATTTAAATCCCCAACAATGATGATTTTTCTCAAAGAAAGGTGGTAAATAAACGGTAGTACTAGAGGGAGTTGGAACTTTAGTCAAACAAAAAGGAGACTGTTGATGACAACTTCATGCTTATTCCTATCCACACAAAATAATCGGTGCATGACAATTATGTACTACTGTCGCTCTACTCTTTGTGGTAGAGGTGAGGTCTGCATGCATCTTAACATTCCCAGAATCCACCTCTAGTTGCGATATACTGGTTTGTTTATTTGTAGACTGAAACATTGATATACAAAGACCAATATGTCGATCTTTCTTTTATTTTCCTGAATTTTATAAATATCTTTTACAAAGTTTAATCTTCACAGAGAAACAAAGGGAGTTCTACAAAAATGCAAAATATGTCAACAAGTACAAGAAGTCACTGAAGCAACAAAACCAAGAGCAGGGTTCTTCCCAAGCTACAAAATCTGTAGAGGTTGGGCTCTTAATTCTGTACTTCACTACTGTCATAGCTTGTTTATTTTCAAGGAGTAAAATTTCAATTTTCAGCACTGCCTTCCTTGTTTTCAAGTTCCTTTTTTTCTAATGCTCTTTTCCCGCAATTTTTTTCCACACTATGCACGAGCAGAGGGTCTTCGTGGAGGCTCTACTCTTTGGGGTGGAGGTCAGGTCTGCGTACATCTCATCCACCAGACCTACATTCGAGTAGGATATACTTGACTGGTTTGGTTTGGTTTGGTTTGGTTTGGAACGGTGCGTTTAGTACACGGGACAATAAGGGTACGGGACATAGCAAAAACTTTTTGGCCCATGTTTGGTGCGACAAGTAGACTAGGACTGGACTGGACTTAGGGGTCGTTTACCCAATGCTTTCACTGGTAAATGCTTACCGGTAAGAGTCAACACTTTAACTTACCTTACCGGGTAAGATTTTAGTTCTTTAAAACGGCATAGTATGCAACAATTTATTTGGTAAGAGCTTACTTGATAAGACTCTCGGTCATTGTCATCGCTCTTACTGGTCAAGTTCATCTGATAAGGTAAAGTGATCCGTTAAGTACTTATAGGGTAAGTGTTTAGTAAACAGCACCTTAGTGGGACAAAAATGCATTTTTCTATCTCATTAAAATAGGTGGAACAAAAATAAAGGAGATTGGGACAAGCTTTGTAAGTTACTAAACTATCCATGTCAAATTAAGTTTTTAAAACCTTCCACGATGTTTTCACTCGCCTACCTCATTTTCGCCCATCTAGTCCATATTCTCCGCATACCAAACGCGCCCGAAGGGGTTAAAAAACCATGGATTGTGATGATCATAAGTTGCAGGATAGAAATGAAAACAAGGAAGTTGGTGAAAGGCATCGAGGAAAGAGGCAAACCGGGAATAAGTCGGCATACAGTCTAAAAGAAATTTACGAGAAGAAGCGAGAGGAGGAAGAGAAAGCGAGAATGGAGAAGGAGGCGATAATAGACGCAAAGAAAAGAAAAAAAGAAGAATCCGAAGGTCGGCGAAAAGCTCAGAGGGAGAAAATGTTGAAGAGAACGAGATCGGGTCAACCGATAATGAAGTACAGGATTGAACATCTGTTGCAGACAATTCAAGGTTCAAACGATTAAGAGGTAATCAATCTCTTCTCTCATGTATTGTAATGTTTACACCCCTTCAACTTTGTGTCATTAATGATCATTTCAAACCTTTTGAAGTATATAATAATTATATACACCAAATATTCACTCCCTATTGGTGAAGTTTAAACCCTTGGCCTCCTGGGAGGTTGGGTTCTATTGGGTCATTGACCCTGCAATCGAACCATTGAAGCACCCCAAATGCACCCTGATACCGTTGGGCCATTAACCCTTTATCATCAAACCATTGATACTGTTGTGCCATTGACCCTTTAGTGAAAGCAGGTGGATTGTGTCAGATTCGAACTTATCATTGCCGTCCAAATGCACCCTTCTACCGTGTCAGGGCTGTTTTATGGGTCAAGATGCATGAAACATAGATCCATACAGCCCTGCATAGACACACCGGCACTACAAAGACGCACAAAAAACGAACTAGACCTAAGACGGCCATTCCTTTGATTCGACACGGTTGTGTAGCTTCTGCAGTCGAATTCCGGCTTTGATTGATTTCCCTGCTCTTGCTTTCCAATTCCTCTTTGATTTCCTGTGTGTTTACTCTCCAGTCTCCAATGATCAAAATGAAATGGAAAGATTTCTGTCATTTTCACTGCATCTCAACCCTGATTTGCAACCGTTGAAAAGGTTAATGAACTATCATGCCGGTCCCATGGTCATCATGGGGGAGGTAAATCAACGGATGTATCTCATTGGCAGAAGAGCGGTGTCGTAACTCGAACCTGGGACCATACTCATATTAGATTACTAACAAATCTTTACCGCTGGATGGCCAAAGATCAGTCTCTTCGAAATCAGGGTGGCCGATCCCGACCAAAAATCCTACGACGGATCCTTGGGCCAGTAGCCGGTCCAAAAACCAGTCTCGGGCCTAGCCCGGTTTTTAAATAGAAGTTACACAAATATGTTTATTATATATATTATAAAGCATTTGATAAAAACTTTAAATAACCATCTTTTATACATGAAGTATTGTTTATTGATGCATATTACTTAAATTATAATAAAAAAATTGCATTAAGGAAATTACACATACAAACAAATAAGAACTTTTATATATTTTTTAATTTTTATGATTTATATTGTATTAAGAAAAAACATTATTGTTTGTTCAAAACCACATAAATTCGTATTATAACATCAACAGAGACTAGGAAATTAAAAATGAAACATTGAAATCAAGATATATCTCGTTGCATTGTGCGAGTACTCTTCTAGTATTAGTGTTTATTAATATTTTCTTAATTGTGATTTTTGAAATTTAACATTAAATATACTTTAAACAATACTTTGTAACTTATTTTTGAAAATTTTATATTATAATTTATAAAAACTATGACAATTTTGAAGAATTGGACCATACATAACTGGGTCTTGGACTAGGGATCCCATGTGATGTCGAGTCCTGGGGGCCCATTTAGCCATCTCTTATCTCTAGTTCTCTACTCTACTACTACTCCACAACACAAATGATGTGGCCTCCCAACTCAACTCCTTGAACGTAAAATATAAACATTCAATTTAATCCTCCCAACTTTTGTCTGTATCAGTATTTTAATTTGTTTCAAAATAAGTTTCAACTTTATATCTTGAAGGATAAAATTGTCTTTTTGTTAAATGAAAAGTGAATTAGAAATTCTAAAATTGTATGTCTTTTTATCGTAGAAATATATATTTGTGGATGGATTCAACAGTTTTTCTTGGTTTTAGTAAAATTCAATAAACGAAAAAGCATGTAAAACGTCATCATTTCACTTTCTTCAATTATTAACATATGCAGTATAAACCATAATGATGTGTATGATTGGTTTGAGTTTAGTTTCCAAAGGTTAAAAGTGCTTGGAGGTCCTACATTCAAATACAAGGAGGAATAAAAATCTTCTTGTGGCCACAAAGATTCAAATGCGGTGACTTCAGGCTACCCGCAAAGCTGATGATTTGGTGGTTCTGTTGTAAGGGACAGGACCACTTTGGAGGCTCGACTGGTTAAGTCGGTTCACGGTTTTTTTTTGGAGAACTGGTTGAAGGCCAATCCCCAGTCCCATCAGACGGTTATCAAGCCCAGTCAAAAAAGCTTGCTAGAACTGGTTTAAAAAAGATCGTTTAGATAAACAAAATTTTAAAATTATTTGTTAAATAGTTGGATAAAAATGTATTTAATTAAATGTAAACAAATTCATACTCATATCAAGTGTTGTATAATTTTAATAAGGTGTATTTTGAAGTTTATTTAGGGACTCAATATCAAATATATGAGAAATTAGGAAACGCAATTTTTAAAAGGAAATAAAAAGTATTTTATAGTAAAAAATCATAAAAGAAATGATTGTTTTGTAAAACATCAGTTGGGTCAAGAGACCGAATGTTGCAATTGTCACTCACATTTAGAGGTTGTTTGACAGTTACTGAATGGTTTGAAACAGAATGATTAAGTGGTCAGAATGATTAACATGCTCTCACAGTATAATGCAAAATGAAATATAATTGTTTACAATGAAATTAGAGTGTTGAATGGTTAAGGAAAGCCAATGGTACAAAATCATTCAGAAATTTTTAAAAACCATTAAGAGGCAGATTTTTTTTTTTCAAACAAGATTCACCTCTTAATGATTCAAAGACTGCTTCTTAATGATAAATTAATGATGAAATCAGTTTGATAATAAAAACAACAATGAATTGTAAATTATATAAACGAAACTCGTAATTTCAAAAAGATAATTGACAAAAATCACACTTTTTAACAAATGACATGCATGATAAAAGAAAGTTTAATCTAAAAGTAAAAGTGAAAAAAAAAAAAAGGGAGTCATTGTGACATTGACTTCAATGAGCATCTAATTGATGGTTAAAATTGTGAAGCAGAGAATTGCAGAATAGCCTGTGGAACTCATAATTAAAAATGAATGATGCATGCATAAAAGGAGTGGATATCATCATCCAATACAAATCAAAGCTTTTTTCAGTACCTTATCCATTTATACACCTTTTTCATCACCACTCAACTCACCTCATCATTATCATTATCATTATCATTCATTAAACCAAATCACATTCCAAATCCTATGTTTCTTACGCATTAATTTTGGTAAATCCAAACTATCAAACATCATCCTTTAGAGGTTGTTTGTTTATTTATTAATACTTTTATTAAGAGACAAATTCTGAATCGTTAAGAGGTGAATCTTGTTTAACAAAAAAAAAAAGTTTGTCTCTTAATGGTTCTATGATTCTTTAAATGATTTTATATCATGAGTCTCCCTTAACCATTCAGCGTCTTAATTTCAATGTAAACAATTATATTTCATTTTGCATTATATCATGAAAGTTTTTTAATCATCTTGTACCAAACCATTCAACAACTGTCAAACAGTTGCTTAATAGTAATAAGGGTATTTTAGGTACTAACTTCACTAAATTAGAATTATAGAACATCAACCCTAATAAACTTAATAGGCAGAAGGGTATTTCAGATTATGTCCAAACTCATTTATGGTAAATTACATCTATAAAACATTAGCCCTAATAAAATTAATTATCACAAACGTTATGGAAATCTGAAATCAAACACTGGATCAAATAAAATATTCCACCACATCCCCTTGTTTATGGCATCTTCATGTCAACAACACCATTCAAGAATAAGTTTATAAATAATTTTAGAACCTAAAAACCATTCAAGAATAAGTTTATAAATAATTTTAGAACCTAAAAAACAATTATTTTATGAATAAATGTATTATTCATAACAAATAACTTAGAATAATCATGAATATTATGTATATTCATTAAAAATAATTTTCAAAGCAACTTACATTTTTCGTCCTTACGGTTTGTTAGACTTTCATTTCTCTGGTTTTCAAATTACACTTTTTATCCTTATAATTTACAATCCACTATTATTTCGTCGTCCAGGTTAATTCCTACTTTAAGTATGAAGGACGAAAAAAACATTAAATTATAAATCATAAGACGATAAACCATATTAAAGAGTCGTTGGCCTCGTAGAAGGTCAGAGGTTCAAACCTCACCAAAGATGAAGAGGATGTGTAAGTTTATTTATTACATTTAACTTCAAAAAAACAACAATAAATCATAAAACACAAGGGAAAAAAATAATTTCAAAAGTACATGAACAAAAACATCAATTTTCAACAAACCACGTGGACAAAAAAATCTTCATTTAGTTTAATTTTCATATGAACATCTTTCACAACATTCATCATGTTTTGAAACATAAATAATTGGTTCGAAAATATTTACAGTTCTCATTTGAACCTCCAGATTGATAACGAAGGAGGAAAGGTCATAATTTAGTTGGGTAAAACATGTATTTGATAGCAACAAACAATATGGTGTTACAAGAATCTTTATTTAGAGAGACTAAATACTACAAATACATTCATTCTCAACTCTTACCCCCAGAACCAGAACGAAAACCAGAACCAAATATAGCAACAATGACGGGATGCTAAGGGGCGTTTTACCAACACAAATCAGATAAATGCTAATTGTCTGGAATAACACTAATCACTTTCCTTGACTAAAAGAGCTTTCTTCAACACTTTATTGGAACCCCACCTATGTACCCAAAGCAAAGTTTAAGTGTCAAATAAAGTCAACATGACCACCTTATAATTAAAGCATCTAATACATTCTCTACAATTTGTTTCTTTCAAAGATGTTAACGTTCAACTTCAATAGATTCTTTATTTTATAGATTTCAACATCAATTATATTATTAAAATATTTACTAGATTTAATATCCCATCAAATTTTCAAATATTATATATATGACGATCTATTGATGGAAATAATAAAAGAACCATTTCTTCGGAGCAAAATAGTAGGTTAAAAATCTCCACAATCTCTACCTGCTCTAGTTTTTGGGAGAATCAGTTGTAGATGCTCTTATACCCTCTTCTTCTCAATTAAGATAGCATATAAATGGAATTATATACATACATATATATATATATATCTATATATATATATATATATATATGTGTGTGTGTGTATATGTATACAGGGTTGGGTTCACGTAAGACCAAGGGTTTTTCATGAGACCCGTAAGACCAATTTATGTTCATTGATCAACTTTATAAGATAATGATCTAAAGTTGCACGGTAACAATTTTGTGATTATTGAGAAGTCTCGTGGCATTTATGAATGTTCAGATTATCAGATTGTAGATCTAATTCAAGGGTTGAGAATTGGTCTTACGGGTCTCACGAAAAAGCCTTGGTCTCACATGATCCCAAGTCTATGTATACATGTGTGTGTGTGTATATATATATATATATATATATATATATATATATATATATATGTGTGTAGGAATGAGATGTGAAGAGAACCTTGAAAAATTAAGTGCCTAAGAACCCATCTAGATCGTTGGATTGAGATGATCTAATGGATGTAATTAAAAAAGGTGATTACAACCACCTTTCTTAAAATACAAATATTTCCCCTTGATTTTTAAATAAAAAATAGCGAAATACAAAAAAGAATTGGAGTAAAACAAATTACACCAAAAAAACATTACTTTATTATTTTTAATTTGAACAAATTACACCCAAAAAACATTACTTTATTATTTTTAATTTGACATCCAATTTGATATATCTTTTCATGGTTCTCCAGTTCTTTTTTCATGCTTCTCTTTAGATCTTTTCCCTATACATACATACATACCTCTATATATATATATATATATATATATATATAGATGTGTGTAGGCTCGTGTTCTCCTGGACCAGCCTGTTTTTGTGAGATCCGTGACAACACAAAAATAACAATGAATATTCACAGCAAAACATTGTGAAGGTATAAAAACCTCGAACCTTCAGCGAAAAAACCGTGAAAGTTTACCTTCACCGTGTCTTCTTTTGAAGATTCAGTGTTATTTAGGTGATCTCATGGGTCTCACAAAAACAAGTTGGTCTCACATGATCCCTGGTCTTTATATGCAAGTATATGTATGTATAGCAAATTAGCAAGTAATATGCAATGTGCAGTGTGTACCTCCTCCATCTTTACCCATTGTCCGTACAAAATCCGGCATGTCAAACCGTTGCCCTGCGACCGTGCGGTATATATAAAGCTTCTCAACCGGACAACTTTCATGCAATGAATCAAGATTCTCACGCTCATCGATAACTTCAACGTTAAGACCAGGCATCTTCTCGCCCAGAAGCTTACACGCTCCAAAACTCACGCCACAAGAAGACATCCAAAGGGATCGCATTGTCTCCAACTTAGAAGCATTCGCCAGCAACGCCTTGTCCCCGAAAGGGCAATCGCGTATCTCCAGCTTCCTTAAGCTATCACATCCCGATAAAACATGATGAAGCCCTAAATCACTCTCACCCGCGAATGCTACTGAAAGCATGTCCAGTTTCTTACCGTGGGTCCCAATGTGTTCGAATACACGGTCCGTGAGGAGACCAGACATTGAAAGACGTCGAAGTTGTTTGCAGTTTTCGACTATCGCTCCAAAACCAGCGTCCAGGGGTTCGAACGTTACGTAATCTGGGGCTCGGGGTTCGAGAATGCAGAGGCGGAAGCAAGTTAGGTTAGGACGGTTATTAGCGATGGTGATCAATGCGGAATTTGACATTTGTCGACAGAAATATAGAACGGATTGAAGTTTTGGGCAACCCTCGGAAACGGAAACAAGGCCTTGTTCAGTCAAGAGGACATTTGCATCAGCAACAAATGGATCGGAAGGGAATACCCGAAGTTCTTGGAGGTCTTTACAAGACAAAGCGAGAGCGTTGAGGCCAGTGTCCTCGATGTAATCCAACACCTGCAGTTTCCTCTTTAATTAGTTGAAAAAAGTAATATAAACAATCAATGACATTTGATAACAGCTATGCAGATAAGGGCATATTTGTTAGCAGATTAATGAGCTTAATAGGACTGGCAAGCTTATTCGATCAGCTATGCATGATTGTTTGGTAGTGGCTTAATGATATAGAAAATGGCTTATTCAGTAAGCTTTCAGAGGGGAGCTTTATGCAAAAAGCCAAGTTTTTGCCAAACTTGTCCCTCCTAATGAAAAAAACACGATCCTTCATTATGAAAAAACCCTTCCAAAAAAGACCTCAATATTTACGGACAGATTAATCCACACAGCCAACTTTATCCTTACAGCACTTAATGGAAAACCAACCAAACAGCCCCTAAGCATCAGAATGGTACAATGATAACCGCCAATCCATCAATGAGATAGGTTCCAACAGGTTTCCGTGACGATTTAAATGAATTCTGGGCGCATTTGGTACGTGGGACAGGACGCAACAGCACAGAACGACACTTTTGGCGTGACAATTACACTGAGACAGGACTTGACTGGCTGGGACGAAATGCAGTTTATTTCTTGCACCAAAAGTCAAGTACAGGGCATACAATAGATAAATTACTAAACTATCCATGTCAAATTAAAACCTTAAAACCTTCCACAATTCTTCACCTACCTACATCACTCTCGCCAGTCCAATTCCCTCCTGTCTGATAACGAAACACACCTAAATAATACTCCCTTCGTCCCAAAGTAAGTGCCCACATTTCTATTTATGTTTGACCCGAAATAAGTGTCCACATTCCTATTTATGTTTGTCTAAAAATAAGTCTGCGGTTTCAAAAATAGATAACTAAATTCTCAAATTTACCCCTAATTAATGCACAAATACTTAATGAGTTGTGAAGGGAGAGAAATTAAATGAGGGTAAAGTTGTTCGTTTGGACTAACTAAAAAGAGTAATGATTATGCATGTCTAAAACTGTGTGTTCATTTCAATTGTGGTCTGTAGACACTTATTTTGGGACGGAAGGAATAATATAGTGGCTTTCTCTCTCACAGATGTGGTACACCATGTGTGTGTGAGAAAGCCATGCTCACATTTTTGAAGAAATCAAATTGATTTCTCAGCCATTTTAGCTGGATGGCATGCTACAACTACCGTGTAGCCAGTGTTTTATCATCTTTGAATTCACTATCACATTAACTTCACTACATAGAAAATGAGAGACCTAAGGTAATGAAAAAATGACTTGTAACTGTGAATGACCTCAAAATTTATTTCATTGATCATCACCTAGCACCAATAGTGAGATATGTTATCTGCAGATTGGCATACATATAGCAAAGTGCAAAGGCTTCTTGTTCTATAAGCACTATATGGATTGAAACTTGTATAGGATAAAGATACGCATCAAGACATACCAATAAACGCTGCAAATTATGGCACTGACTAACAATCTTGGTAAGCTCGGGACTTTGAGCAGTTGCATAGCTCAAGTTTAGAGTAGTGAGCCGAGAACAAACTGAGTAAAAAGCTGGAAGATAAGCTGGAATCACCTCCCAAAACCCTGATAGCCCTTTTAGATTCTTGCAGCCTGAAAAAGCCTCCGTCAGACTTGCATATACATCTGACCGGATTTCGGCAGAGTAGACACCTGTACCAAACTCAACCAGCTGCGGTGCCAGCTGCAGGAGCGTGGACAGCTTCTCAAGGGGTACATTACGATTGAGTCGAAGAGTCTTGAGGTTGGGTGACCGAGCAACCAGGCGTTCAAGGGCCGAGAAGCTCACCTCAGAAAGCAAGCAGGCAATGTTAAGAGACTCCAATGAGGTACAAGAATCAGGGAAGTGACTCAGCCAATGCCCACTTAGATCCTCTACTTCACACTCCCGTAACTCCAGTACTCTCAGATTTCTGTATTAAAAATCAGATGGAAGAAAAAACATTAACAAAGAATGTCTTTATAACTTTACCTAATTGGCTAATTCCAGCAGAAAAAAGATCGATAAACATATAGCATCATCTTGCTTCTCTTTTAGTTTTCTTAGGGAGGGGGTCCAGAAAGCAAACAGCACGTTAGCTTACCTTCTACTATCCAAAGAGTGAATGACTGCTATTATCCCCAGATGTTTCTTAAGTAACCTAGTTGGGTACATATGGCAAAAATGTTGTAAAGAGGAACTCAGCAGCTTTCTAAATTGCTCTACCAGTTTCACATTTCAAATTACTTATTCAGTTTATCAGAAACTGATTGAGATTGAAAACTATTTAATTTACCTATGAACGTATAAAATCCAATAGTAAACCAGGATACAAATAGAAAAACAAAAAAGAACACCGATTATACTCTGTTATATGATCTCCACGTAGGCCCGGATTTAATCCATGAAGAAGCTAAAAGAAATAATATAGCATTATAGCTTATATATTATCACTTCCACTGAAGAAAGTAAAAAGGTTGCAATCAGAGAAGGCAAACTATCCTCTCTTATCGACAAAGAAGCACCTCAATCAACCAAAACAGCCCATTGTTGGCAACTTCATTGCAAAAACGGATCCTTTATATAGCAAATGCTTTCTAGAACAAAAAATAAATGCTTTAAAGAACTCAATTATACACATAAGTATCATTATTAAGCATAGAACCTCCATTTAAGTAAGTAGTAGTCCCTAAAGAGCAAGGCATGCCTCCAATTTAACAAAACCTTGAAATAAACAAAAAGCAAATTCTTCTAAGAAACCACATTTTTCCCGCATTGATGATCAAGGTCTGAATATGTCACACAAGATTCTAAAACTAGTTTCTACTGAACAAGTTCGAACAGAACTGAAGATAACAAAAAACGTAACCGAGATTCATTTTGTTCACAAATTGAAGGCTAAAAAGGAGATATTTCACCTGCAATTAGCAGCAATGGCAGCAAGCCCATCAGTACTGAAACCCTCACATGACGACAAAACCAAAACCTTAAAATTCTTAAAAGACTTGGAGATCAACTCCAAGCTCTCATCCGTTACCACCATACGTTTAAGCCTGATCTCCTCCAAACAAGGGTAACCCCTAGCAATTTCAACGATCCAAGGATAAACATACCCTCCCCATCCTTCCGGCACCAAATTGAAGTCCGCAAAATGCGGCTTCCCTTTCAACTCAATCGATTTCACCTCCGGAAACCTCCTGATCATGATTTTAGGGTTCACAGCGTAACAGTTCCCGACGAAAATCCGCCTCCGGCACCACCTCTCCATTTCGTACCACGACTTGCACACCAATGAAACGGCGTTCCTGTCCTTTTCCGAGCTTATAAACGAGAAGACATGTTCCAAAACCTCCTCAGGGAACGAGTACGCCATCGCCGCCAAAAAGCTTCAGAAAACCTCAAAATCTGACAGGAAAAGATGGCCAACGAAGGGGTCAACTCCGATGTAAGTTCCTTGATGTATATAGTCCGTGTAATAGCTTCAGATCTGAGCAAAACTACACCATTAACGAGCTCAGATCGAAGTATTCTTGGTTGCAGATGAGAGAGAAAAGAGAGGTTGAGAGGGAGATAAGATTTTAATATGTCGTGCGAAAGATAAAGTGATAGGCGAGGTTAAATTTGTAGGGTAAATCTTCTTTAAACCCTTGACTTTAAGGTATTTACATTTACAACCCTCCAACTTTATATTTGTTTCAAAATGAACCCTAAACTCCAATTTATGTCGATTAAATAATTTGCATGTTGTAAATCCATGATTGAAATACCATTTTGGAAATATCTTTTGTTGGATGTATACATACACACATATATATACATACATAGGGTTGGATTCACCTGAGACCAAGGGTTTTTCGTAAGACCCGTAAGACTAATTTATGTTCATTGATCAACTTCAAAAGTTAATGATCTAATGGTCTAAAGTTGCACGGTGACAATTTTGTGATTATTGAGAAGTCTCGTGGCAATTTTGTGATTATGAGTGTTCAGATTGTAAATCTAATCCAATAGTTGAGAATTGGTCTTACGGGTCTCACGAAAAACCAATGGTCTCACATGATCTCAAGTTTACATACATAGAGAGAGACAAGTTTAAGGGAAAACCACAAAAATGAAAATTTTGAGGATAGTCATAATAACAATTCATTTGTACGGTATTTGCATGTTCATATGCATATATATATATATATATATATTGTCATGTATGCACGTGTGCATATCGTACAAACGAAGAGTTATTAGGATGTTCCTTATTTTTTTAGGGTTTTCCCCTGAACTTCTCTCTACAAATTATTGTTTCACATGTGGTTGTCACAACAGATCATGTTTTACGTGTTGTGTGTAAAGTGAGTGCAGTGCCTCACTTTGTGCGAAAAGATACCAGGTTGTTTAGGAGCATGGGTTGGCTCGAAAGTTCAGCACTCACGAAAAACATTTAGCATTTTTAACGACAAAAATGCATGTCTTATGGGTACGACTAACCATATATGCAACGCATTATTACATAAGTGCTAGCGTAGATACGTACATGGAAGGTACCAAAAAAGTGGATGTGTCGACTTCATGATCGCTTGTACAAAAAAGGACAAAAGTGATCATACGATCAACCTTTATGAGTTAAAGTCTTATATTAAACTCCATACGTACTCTTATATGCGGTCGTTGATATAAATTTGAAAAAAATAAAATAAACCGATAATAGTATCAAATTAACTATTTAATAGTTTTCGTTTTTTTTTTTAACTTCTTTAATTCAATTTTTAATTATAAATTAATTTAGATTTATTAATATAGTAATTTATTTTTGGTAGGACTCAATGATTATCTTAATCATATATTAGATTTTCTATATTTAAAATGGATGTTTATCATGTATTTGATTATGTTTATCTACACTTAGTTACACGAATTTAAAATGAAGCTTTAATAGGTTTTATTTACACAAAATTACTTGTAATCTTGAATTTTAAGTAATATGAATCAATAAACAGTACTTCATGCAAAAAAAAGATTTTTAAGAGTTTTTGTCAAATACGTTATAATATAGTATAGATTATGTAAAGTATTTAAAATTAAATTTACAATTTATTACTGTATATGAACAAATTCTTGAAACTTCATGTCTAAACTTCATAAAGCTGGTTGACAAACACATGCAGATAGATAATAAGCATTGAACGACACTGATATAGAATTAACTTCAAATCAGATTTTCTTTTTTTTTTATGAGAAATTATATCATTTTTTCATTATCGATTTACAATAACATATACAGTGATGCTTGATTATTATTTTGTATATATAAGACCACAACAAAAAAACAAATGATTACTTATGGGTCAGGGGACCTTCACTCGATACACATACACATATTGACCTTCTTCAGTTTTTCATCTCTTATCCTTTTATATTACATTTTTATATAATTATTAGAAAAAAAAAAAAACAATGATATAAAAAATAATAAAAGAATTAAACATTTATTCTTTAAATGTTTTATTTGGTTTGGTTTTTATGTTGTATTCAATGTTGACATAAAAAAAAATTATTAAACATTTATTTATATAAATAATGATTAAAAAAGTAATAAAAGAGAAAAAGAGGGAAAAAAGAATTAATTAATAAATTATATTATTAAATTGTAACACAAACATTTAAGTAACAAAAATAATAAAAATAAGACAACAAAAAAACAAAACAAAAAAACAAGTGATTATAATAGGGTTTGGGGTGTAAGTTAGCAAGGGTTAGGGGTGCCAATAGTCTCTCCCTAAATATTGGGTCATATTAATACGTCATAATACTCCATAAATTTCAAATCAAATTTTTTTTTAACAAGAAACTGTTAATTTTTCGTCATCAGTTTACAGTAACATTTTACATTTTGCTGCATTAAACATGTTTTACCTCCGTAAAACCAACTAATAAACACAGTCAAAAAAACCGTAAGTGTTTTTTTTCTTGGGTAACCTTGGGTTTCCATCCAGCTTACCTCCACCGACTAATCCCTACAAATGGCCTTAAGTCATCACATATGAACCTCCATCACCTCAAGACATTTGGCAACACCAAGATTCGAACAGTCGAACCCATGGAAAATCAGATTTCCACTACATCCATCCCCATGAGCCTTAACCATGTTGGGGTAGATGAACAAGAGGGTGGTTTTCTGAAATCACAAATTCTTGGATTCTTGTCTGGATCGTGTATATCACTTTCCGAATCAGATACTTCGACCCTATAGCCTTGGGTTGCACGAAATTCTGAATATGGGATAATCCAAGAAGGAACAATCTAATTTCTTAGGCACTGAAAATTAGATTACGTTATCGTGTGTTTTGAATATTCTAAATCCTCAAATTCAAGAGCTAAAAACGAAGGTTGTATCAGAAAATAAGATAAGACCAGACATTTATCGAAGGTTCAGCAGTTAAAGATTCAAAACTTCCGTTAGAAACTAACCACTTGCCTTCATACGAATTTTTTTGGTGCGCTGCCCCTTGGACCTCTCAAGGGGGCACGACCCCCTTGACCTCCGCCTTTTGGTCGTACCAAGATCATTCTAGTCTTATACAAATGTGCGCTCCGCACCTCCTAACTTACATTAAAAAAAACTAAGTAAAAATCTCCGCTAGCTCACGTATATTTACCCCTTACACCAAAATGAAACCTGTGACACTAAAATGACAAGCAATTCCCTTATTCTAATAACTTTCTAATCAGATCGTTCATGCATTTCATATACAAAGTTTCATTCAAAGCTTCAGACATAGGTGTTGATGTCATACCCATTCTCTGTACCATAAACAGATCAATTATAACAAGTCACACACTGATATTCTAGAAACATGAGTTTACAGTAACATTTCACATCCTGCTGTAAGTATCTAAACAGATGGTACAAAGTAAAAAAAAAGAAAGTTGAAGGGTGAAAATGGGTTTGTTTGAGAAGATTGAGGGTAAGAAAGTGAAAAAGGGGATTATAATGATGTAATGGAATGTAACTTGGGTTAATGATAACAAGTGATAAGTGCAATAAAAGGTAAATTATTTGGTCATCGCATTTAACATGTGTACATAAATACGATAAAAGACAACCTAACATCATTATTTCCCACAAATCTCCCAACTTAATTTTTGCTTTTATTACGTCATCATTAAATAATGTCTTAAAATATTTATTCAATAAAAAAACCAAAATTAATTAAAATTAGTACAAAATTTGTTCTAAAATCTATAGTAAACTATTGTTTATAATATAGGAGAAAAAGAGAACAGAGAAAATCTATTTCTCTATATATAGGTGGAGGTTTAAATAAGAATACCTTTATTTTATAAGAACGTGAGAACATTTTTATCACATGTGATAATACACTTGAGGGAACTTGGTGGTGTATGGATGTCGTGCCTTGCGACTTAGATTGCACTAAAGGTCGTCTGAGTCTATGATTTAGTATCACATGTGATGGTCTTGATGAATTATAGTATCACATTAATAATACATTTATCACATGTGAGGGGACTTAGTGGTGTAAAGGCGACTTGGCCTACAACCTAGATCATGTCAAAAGTCATCCACGTCTCTGATTTAATATCACATGTATATCATATATAATTGAATAATAGTATCACATGTGATTGTTTATGGTAAAAAGGTGATCTCGCATTCTCGTAAAATGAAGATGTTCTCGTTTGAAACCTTCCCTATATATATATATATATATATATATATAATGGTAGTTCACGTGAGACCGGTTTGTTTTCGTGAGACCCGTGAGACCACTTTTTTGCACTTAAAACTTCACAACAAAACGTTGCGACTGTAAAAGTAATTTTCACAGTGTTTTTGTTGTGAATGTTTGGTTTTTTTACTTTCACAACGTTTTGCTGTGAAGTTTCAAGTGTAAAAAAAATGGCCTTACGGTTCTCATGAAAACAAGTTAGTCTCAAGTGAATACAATCCTATATATATATATATATATATATATAGAGAGAGAGAGAGAGAGAGAGAGAAAAAAAACGCTCCGATGAGAGCTCTTGATTATTTTGCACCAAACTATTTAACATTTAAAAACTATAATAACTTGTAACATTTAATTTTAAAATATTTGCATTAAAAAAAATATTACATAACTATAAAATAAGCTATTTTTATAGAGTTGTTTAAAATACTTTATAATAGAGTAAACATATATCATAAGTTCATAACGAAGAGTTCAACGAAAACACCATTTTACTATAATCAAACAAACATGATACTGTACAAGTCGTCAGATCATTTCACGTGTATCATCACATGTGATAAATATGTATACACGTTTTTCGAAACTTTAGGCTCGTTTACAATACACCATATGTGTTCACGGGTTTCGTACGCATCTAAACGACCGACCAAAATAACCATTTCCGCACGCACTCCTTTTGTCCGATTTTACTTAAATCCTCTTCGACTTTATACCGATCAGGTACGAAGCAGCGTGACGCATATGTAAGGATGCCAGCCTAAATAAATACAAAGCTTGCAGAGATGTTTTTAATGATTCAAACAACCCAAAATTCAGATCAAATTGGATGATAAACG